AACGCCAGTTGATCTAAACGCCAGTAGATCTGGAACACCGGGCACACATTTGCTTTTGGGAACCTGCTTACCACCCCAACCCATCCCCCATGCAATTTAAGTTAATTGTCACTGGAAAAAGCAGGTGTTAGCTAGCAGCTAACTGGAAATATGAAAGAATGACATCATTTTTGTGGGAAATTACAATACAGCTTTGTTGGTTCTGTAGATGACTGCTATTGTTGTAGATTTACGTAGATATGTGTGCACAAGGAAATCAACTTCATTGTAAATGTGCTGGATTCCATGTTTATGAGAAATACGAGTTTGGCAGTCTTTTATTAGACATTGACTTCTATTCAGTATTCTATTCAGAAGTTATTTATTAAAATCAGAGGTAATGCTGTGTGCTTAGCTGATGGAGAGCAGGTTGCTATGGTTATGGTTAAGGATGATGGTTTAAATCGACATTATGAGCCTACACATGCAGAGAACTATAAGAACTTGACTGATGCAGAACAAGAACAGATATCTGCAAAAGCAGCAAGGACTTTTTACCAAGCTGTACACAACCAGGAGCTTTGTCGATATTCTCACAAAATTGCAAAAAACACTTAGTCATTTCATGATGAGGATTTTAAGAGTGTTTGTTGTCCACAAGGCAGCCCAGTTGAAACTTCCCACACACAAGGAGAAATGCTCAGAAGAAACTATGTGAACAAACATTCTCAGTAATGATGTTTAACAAATTGAGATACAGTCCCTGCACACTTGTCTCAGTACATTCTTCCAACTGCTGACAACGAGTCATAAGCATCTAACTGTGAATAAGAAGAAAATGAGATAATCGCAGTGAAAATGGTTGTAAATTGTTGTCAGCATTGTTAACATTTTGCTTATTTATTGTGGAAGCTCAGATTGATGAAATTCATTTTACACCCAATTGAACAGTCCCACATGTGGCTCGATTCACTATGATTCATTTTTGTGTGTTTTGTAAAGTCTCGCTCTTTGCTGTGTCTTTGACGGAAAGAGAGCTGAAGTGTTGAAACAACAGAAAAAAACAGCAAGCTACTTAATTCAACATCCCTTGTGTTAACAGATGCGTTAAACTGTAATCACTTTGTGAAACACTGTTTATGATATGTAGTCTACACCAATCTGGAAAGTTAGGCAACATTAAACAAATACATAAAACTATACTAAAAGTATGGATTCTAGTAATTCAAATACAATTTAAGGATCATGAAAAATACACGAGAAACATCAAAATGGAAGGCTGTGAGGAGATGGACCCAGGAAAACGGGGCTCTTTTTTTACATTGGCTTCATTATTAAGACCCCAAAGTTCCATTCGCCTTTTATATAAATAATATTGGAAAGGAAAGTGAACATATAAGCATTATACAACCCCTAGGTACCAATCGTACCCCTCAGTAGTAACACTCTGTTGTTTTGACTAATACTCCCCTTTGTTTCAATGGCTTAAGACCAACTAGGACTAGTGACATAGCACTAACATCACTGCTGACTGGGGGTTTATCATCCTGTTTTCACTACGAAGCAGTAGATCATTTCAAGGAAAGACGTAAGCTGAAGGTTTAAAGTGGACTTATTCTGTTCCAATAATGAATGTTGATCTTAAACACTGGGCAACATTAAAAAGAAATTAGGTCACTATATGAAGATATACAGTACTGTGCAAAGGCTTGAGCCACCCCTCATTTCTTTATATTTTGCTTTCAGGCACCCAGACTTTCTTGTATGTTTTTTAAACAATATTTCACAAGGCTTTCTGACGTGTTTCTTTAGACCTCAACTTCCTCTTTACTCATTTCCAGTCCAGTCCGTGTACCTCACTGTTTTCAGAGGGTTGTTTGTTGTTTGTTTTATATTATATATATTTCTTATCACTAACTTATGAAGGAAGCATTAAAGCATAAAAAGATGCCTAACTGAAGGGATGAATCATTGTGTCTGCACATAACAGACAACTTAGTAGCAAAGGCCTAGTTTGTGCTTTGTATTCTTTGTATTCTTTAGGCTCTTTTTTTTTTACTAGCAGCCTGTTGCAAAAATACATAATTTGTTCCAATTTGTTTGTTAAATTTACAGAAATGCCAACAGTAACAGTAATTCAATTTTATTTATATAGCGCCAAATCACAACATAAGTCGCCTCAAGGCGCTTCATAGATACAGAGAAAAACCCAACAATCATATGACCCCCTATGAGCAAGCACTTTGGCAACAGTGTTTGAAAGACATGAAATAGTATTTTTGCTCTAATGAGGTTAAAACTATTAGCCTAAAACTATCTCAAAGTGGTGTGCAGGCTGTCCCTAAAGAAACCGAGGACAAAAGCAGAAGTGGCAGGCTTAAGAAATACTGTATACCGCAGTTGAATGGTATCTGAAAACATGGTGGAGGCTCTGTCATGGTTTGGGGTTGCATTTCAGCCAGTGTGTTGGGGAGCATGCCAGAACTGATGGAATTATGAAGACAGAAAAGTATTGTCAGATTTAATCTACCGTGCAATACTATCTGGAAAGCATCTGATTGGCAGTGGATTTGTTTGTCAGCACGGCAATGTTTCCAAACAGAGTACCAATGCAGTAAAAACAAACCTATAGAGAAAAACACACAATGGAGCACTTGCTTCCCTAGAGCCCAGACGTGAATATTATTGAAGCAGGGGATCATCTTGATAGAGAGCAGAACAAAAGACAACCAGCTTCCAAAGGAGAGCTTTGGATCTCTTTCAAGAAGCCTGCAGAAATATTCTTCTCTGCACTCACATGTTTTTGAAATATCTGGGCACTGACAAAGTTTTGTTAGTAATAAGAATATGTTAATGAAATGTTTGTTAAATGTGATGTTAAAAGGTTTTCCTGTGTCCTATCATTTCCTCTTGTTCCATGTGTCTCTTTCTTTGTTCTCTTTCCCCATTTTTCATTTTCCTTTAATCTTTCTTTCTCTATTTCAACTCTGACTGTCCCCTCCTTATTCATTCCCGCTTTTGTCTTTCTTCTTGTTTATCTGGCCCCCTTCTACTCCCCCTTCCATTTCAGGACCATGTCACAAGGGGTAGATGTGTCTGGCCTGTTCAGTGAGATGGTGAAAGCCTGTGCCACAGTAGATGTAGTCCAGAAGAAATTGGTTTATGTCTTCCTGTGTTCCTACGCCACTTTAAACCCGGAGTTGTCCCTGCTGGTCATCAACACTCTGAGGAAGGACTGCCAGGATCCAAACCCAATGGTCCGCAGTCTAGCCCTCAGGAACATGACCAACCTCAGGTGAGCTGTTGTACACAGGGACCTCAGTGTAAGCTGCCACATCCACTCATGACTGGTTTTGAATGTGTCTGTGTGCCAGGTTACCCAGCCTGGTGGAGTATGTGGAGCAGCCTCTAACAGCAGGACTGAGAGACAGAGCAGCCTGCGTACGACGTGTGGCTGTACTCGGCTGGGCCAAATTGCACAACCTCCAACCTAGCTCTGAGATCGGTGGGGATTTTTTTTATCCCGTTAACACAGTTCTCTTCTTCTCTTGCAAGAAAGAAGAAAGTTAATCCCATCACTATTGATGTATCAGCAGGTGTGTTTCACTTGCTGATACATCAGCGTCATGTACAGAAACCTCTTGTTTGTGATTCTTTCCAGATGCAGCAGTGGTGAATGAACTTTACAGCCTCCTGAGGGACCCGGACCCCGTGGTGATGGTGAATTGCCTCCGAGCTTTGGAGGAGATCCTGAAGGAGGAGGGTGGTATCGCTATTAACAAACCCATTACCCACCACCTGCTCAACAGGTTGGTCCACAGTTAAAACATCAGATGAAATGTGGATACATGAAATCTGTCAAAATAAGTATGCTCTGGTATGCAGTTTATTTTACTGTTAGTGCTGAACTGCATTAGGTCTTTGATTAATTTCAATGTGAATTTTTTAGGGGCGTGCCCTACTGTTTTACCTTTAGGCAAAGTAGGTAGCTGAAGTGGTGGATGGTGACACATCTAGAAAACTGTGAAATTTCACCAGAAGAAAACGAATCCCATCACAGGAAGAAGTTAAAAAAAGAGGGGGGGTAAAGAAGGAGAGGGTTGAAGAAAGCCATTAATTTGTTTCTAATGTTTTTACATTCTCCTCGTCATCTGCTACTCAGTTAATGGGGAAAAAAGACATTCTGTCTTCTTACTGAAATTGAATTCATTTTTTTGTCTAATGAGAGCCTTAATCTGCAGGACTGTCTGTGTGTGTGGCTATCATCCAGCCTTCTACAGATAGCTAATCATATCAGCAGAGCCAAATAGCTTCCTGTTAGACTTCTGTCTAAACCAGCATTATAGACAGGAAGAGCAATGTGCACATAAATATATTTCCCTGCATGTTTAACTATTGTAGCATAGCATAACACTGGCAACGTCCAGGTGACTTTCCTCAGCCGTATGTGCTACCAGGCTATTTTGTTTTATTCATTTTTGTCAGTGACAGCAAATTTCCACTACTGGCACTGGTGAGATGTAAGAACTTGCCCAGGAACTGACCCTAAATAATCACGCTTATAAAATCACATTTTATTCCATCACCTAACATCAAGATTATATTTTGTCCTAACATAGAAACTGTATTTGAAACTGATTTCTAGGTGGGAAAATGAGTTCGTAAACTATAATGAATGCACATCGCATTATCAGTTTCAAACTGATAATGTGTTTTGGCTGAAAGGTAATACTTATGTTTGAGCTGAGCAGCTGTGGCTCACATATTACAGTCTGTCTGTCCTTCCTGTTTTTGTTTTGTTTTTTTCCCTTTCCTTTATGGTGTTATGTGGATAAAGGCAGTATGTGTAGTTTGTAGTTCATGTAAGTTTCGCTACTTGTTTTGTTACGCTTAGTGCAGACTTTCCCAAAGTGTGGGGGGCGCAGAGCCATTGCAGGGGGGGCGCGGTGTGAAAAGGGAAAAAAAAAAACCAAACAAACAAGGCTTGGACACTGCTAGCACGGGGCAACCACACAAACGCAAAGCAGGAGATGAAGCATAGCTGAATATGTTTCCAAACCAACTTCATTTTAAGCCAAAGACTAGAAAATATGGTGAAGCATATTTTCTGTTAAGGGTTCAATATTGAGGAGGAGAGTAATAACAACCATGGTCCAGAAGAGCTTGGTCAAACAATCTATTTTAATGACCACACGCAGTGTGGGGAGATGTACACTGCAAAACATCAGCTGTAGATCTCTGCCCAAAAAGACACTTCAGATTGCTTTTGATTCATGAGGGTTAACGCCCCCTCATGCATCATCAGATACAATACATGCATACGTCAAATCAAAACCACTAAGACTTTTAACACAGTTTGAAAAGAACATTGTCTTCGTCTCCACGGCAGGTGCTTCCTGTCAATCTTCTGACTCTCGCTTCTCCAAAACCTCGGGCCATGCTCTGGAACAAACTACCAATTCTGCACACACAAAAATGCAGTTGCAAGAAAATATATCTGAACTCTCACCTAGAACATAAGCCTACCTAC